AGGTTCCTGCAGGCCATGAAGACCTAGCCATCGTCTCCTGCCAGGGCCACTGCCACCACTATGTTAGCTTGAGGAAGAGTCTCTCCTTCACTTGAAAAGCTGACATTTAAAAAAAAAAAACAAAAAAAAAAAAAAAAGAAAAGCTGACATTTGCCCCCAAGGGTGTATCGATCATGGTGTCAGCATACATTCGGTGGCCAAACAGATAGGATTGGGTCTCTGACAGCCTGCGGTTATTTGTCCCTCCAGTGTCCTCTCAATGTAGGTCAAAGAGAACTTGCAACAAGAGTTCAGAGAATAACCCTGGGTTTGGGGAGAAACTTAAGTGACTGTCCTATATCTTCACCCCGGGGTTGCAACCATCTGTTGCTTCACTAACCCAAAAATTATGGTTTAAAATAATCCTCTCTGGGCCACCTGGGTGGTTCAATTGGTTGTCTGCCTTCAGCTCAGGTCATGATCCCGGGGTCCTGGGATCAAGCCCCACGTTGGGCTCCCTGCTCAGCAGGGAGCCTGCTTCTCCCTCTCCCTCTGTTTGCCGCTCCCCCTGCTAGTGCTCTCTGTCAAATAAATAAAATCTTTAAAAATAATAATAATAAAGTAATCCTATCTATCCCTTGCCAGCCTGCCACACAGTTGCAGTCAGGGTTGCTGGGTGTGGAGTTTTCTTGAAGGCTTCCTCCCTCTGTGAGAGGTTGATGCTGGAACCTTCCCTGGGGTCACGGCCAGCATCATGGGATGCAACTTTTGCAACTAGATGAGCCCCACCCTCCAAAGGGCTCAGTGCCTGGTTGAATGCTCTGTTGGCACCATTTAATTCTTACTTTTTGGAAAAAAAGGCCCAGCATTTGCATTTCGCACCAGACCTTGCCAATCTGGTAGCTGGTCCTGACTGGAGCTCTTGGCCCCACATCTACACGTGGGCTTTCCATGTGGCCTGGGCTTTCTCACATCAAGAGAGTTTTGAGAGAGAGTGAGGGCAGGCAGAAGCAGTATCTCTCTTTATGACTCAACCCAAGGGCTCCTCTCAGAGGGGCGTGGCAAGGTCACGGTCTAAAGAGTGGGGAGTGGGGGGAGAGGAGACACTGTTGCAGCTCCCTTTGGAAAATGCCATTTGCCACATCTGATAAGAGCAGGTCACCTCTCCAGCCTGGCCTCAACCTCCCCATGTGCAGGAGGGGGCTGGGGGCTCAATTCCCCTCTGGGAAAAGGCCAAGGCAGACTTGGGAAGCTGATCCTCACAGGCACCCCCAGGTGTCTGGGTCTGGGGTCAGGGTCCCTTACCAGGCCTCAGAGGGCCTTCTAGCCCCCCACAGCCCCGGAGCTCTAGGTGCCTGTCCCCCCAGAGGCCTGAAATCCCTGAGGAAGGTGGAGCAGCTCCTCATCCCGACATCTGTTTCTCCTGCCAGCATCTCTGCTAGGCTAACAAATCCTCCTCATTCCCTTCTCCCTGGGGCATGTTGTTGTCTTTCTCATTAACTTCCCCTCAACTCCCAGCAAGCTCCCCAGACTCTGAGCTCTGCTAATTCCCCTGGAACCCACGGGGCAAGCCAGGAAGCTAATTAAATTGTGAGCTGGTGCGGGTGCTCTCTCTGTCAATCTCTGAATCTCTGTCTCTCTCTCCTTGATCTTCTCCCTTTTCCTTTCTGAGCAGGCCTGCAGAGTTCAGTTTCATCTGCACACTTGGAGTGTTTTCTTGCAGGTTGGCTCTTCTTCTGTCTCCTGTCTCTCAGCCAGAGTAATCTTAAAATACAGCCCTGAGTACCATCCCCTCTGCTGCAGGATATCCGAGCTCCTTAGCTGCCTCACCTGCCCTAACTCCCATTCACAAACCCTTCCCACCAGAGCTGAGCCATGGGAGGTCTCCTCCCCAAGCCCTGTCCTTGCCGCCTCCACACCTTTGTTCATATTCTTACCTTTGATGGGTTCCCACCCCCTACTCTTCCATCTCAATCACAAATCCTTGCCATTATTTAAAATTGCCTTCTCAAAAAAATAAAAAAATAAAATTGCCTTCTCTATGTGGCACCTGCCTGACTCAGTAGACCATGCAACTCTTGATCTCAGGATTGAGTTTGAGTCCCATGTTGGGTGTAGAAATTACTTTCAAAAAGTTTTTTTAAAAGAGAGAAAAAGAAATAGGCTCCTCTGTAACATCTTCCCTAAGCAACCCTCCAGTCCCCACCACTGGTGGTTTCTCCCTCCCTGAGCGCTCATAGCACTTACCAGCTCAGCTCCTGATGCTGAACCACCTATTATGGTTCTTTCTATCCACATCCAGCCACTCCCACTAAATGATTAGCAACTTGAGGGCACAGTCTCCAGGTCTTTTTCATCTCACCTTCTTCCTGAGCACCTACTGAAGATTGTGCCTTCAAACACTTCATTGGTGTCTCCTGGCCCCAGATGGCCACTGAGGCTCCAGCCTTCATGTATGTATATTCTGGGAAGAGGGAAGAGAAAAGGGAGGGCAAAAGAGAGGGTCTCCTAGCTGAGTTGGTCCCTTGCAAGCACTTTCTCTCTTGATAGCTTCTGTTTACATTTCATTGACCATGTCTAGGTGCAGTAGAAACTGGGCACATGGTCTCCCTTCAAACTCAAGAACCCATCCCTTGTTTTACAGTTGAAAATTTAAGACGCAGAGAGGATGATAGAATTAGGCTGCTGAACATAGTGCTTAAGGACCAGGTTTTAGAGCTAAACACACGTGGGTTTGAATCCTGCCCCTCCCTGCATATAACCTCTTCATTCCTTATTTTATTTATTTATTTTTCCTCATTTTATTTTTTAAGATTTTATTTATTTATTTATGAGAGACATAGAGAGAGGCAGAGACACAGGCAGAGGGAGAAGCAGGCTCCATGCAGGGAGCCTGATGTGGGACTTGATCCCCGGTCTCCAGGATCACGCCCTGGGTTGAAGGTGGTGTTAAACCATGGAATGACCCAGGCTGCCCTCATTCCTCATTTTAAAACTGGGTTAATGGTATCTACTTCAGGGGTTAAGAAAAGTAAATAAAGTAATAGATGTGAAAAAGCACTTACCACAGTTTAAGACACAGCTATTATCTGTTGTCTTAGTTTGGGTTCCCCCCAAAAGCACACCTTGAGACAAAGATTTGGGTGTAAATAGTTTGTTGAAGAGGCGATCCCAAGAAGCAGGGTGAAGGAGTAGGGAAGTGAGAGGGAAGGGAGAAAACTAAATAAAGCATACAGAGAAGAGGGGTTTTTTCCCATGGATGACTGAAACTTCATGCTGGAGTCTCTCTGAGACAGGAACATGGTTGGCAATTGGGAGTTGTCCCCCTGAGGGCCTGGAACCGGGTGTTTACCCACTAACTCAGCCCTGCTTGGTTGAGGGTTACCCGGGGGATGTTAACTCTCCTCTTGTAGCCTGCCCCGCAGTCACTTCCCCAGCCAAGATTGTCCCCAGAGAGACAGGGAAGCAAGTTCAGGAACAGTGTGCAGGTGACCTCCAGTTAGGCCTGGGGTGGGCACAGTTAGCATCGGCTACACTCAATAAAAGGAGTGTATTAAAATTATTATTGTGTTGTCATCTCTGCACAACAAAGTAGGAGCAGAATGAAATGAAATGAAAGAATTCATTTCTTTCCATTGAGACTCATAATCATTCATCCTTCACCTACTACCTTGAAGAAAACTTAATGGGCCCATCATCATTGTCAAGGCCTTCATGAGGACTAACCTGCATCAGACTAACTGGGGTCACATACGTTTTGAGAGTTCCAGAAGGAAAGCTCCAGAAGGCAGAGGGCATCCCGGGGCACCAGGCTTCTCTGGGTCCATGCACAGGGTCTGTGGCAGAGCTGGGACCAACCAAGATGCAGGCCTTTCACATCGACCAGGGGCAGACAAAGGGCACCAGCTCCTGGCAGCTGAGAGTGGGGCCCATCTAGAGCCATCGATGCACTTAGTCAACACTTACCCAGTGCCAGGCAGGTGGACACTCCCACAGCTGTTGGGAGAGAAGAGCAGCCCCAATGAAGGGAGTCCAAGATGGCAGGAAGGCTCAAAACCCAGAGTGGAGGCCTTGAGGAGCCTCTGATGAGTGCTGAGGGGGGAAGACAGCTGTTCCCAGGGCTGATGTCCAGCTGGATCCTACTACCCTAGCCCTAGCTAGACAGGGTGTCGGTGTCCCTCTGCAAACAGGCCCTCGGAGCCCTCCCAGGGCCTTCCTCAACCTTCTCCCTTCTTGCAGGCACCAAGAAAGCAGCCTCGCTGGTTCTGTCCCTAAGAGGCCCTTGCTTGGCATCCCCTCCCCAGGGGGCCCAGGCTGACCCTCTGATGTCTGGGGGCTCAGTCTTTCTCCTTCCTTCCTAACCAGCTAGGGGCATTTTCAGATTCAGAGGCAAGGAAGAAAAACTGGGTCACGTCAAGCTTTTTCTTTACTGGTGACATTGACCCATTTATACTTCCCTCCCTCAGACCCCCTCCCCCAGGGCCTCTCAGCCTGGACATCTGTCCCAGCCCAAATCTCACCTTCCACTGTCCTTGCCGCCCCGGGGCTCGTCCAGTCTGTTCTGCTGCAGTCCCCTCTCCTCAAACCAGGGAAGGGGGCCCCGGGCCACCCCCAGTGTGGCCTCTGCCTCAGTTTCCCCATCTGCTAACGGGTTGACGATGCGTCTTCTGTCGAGCCCGAGGATGGAGCTCCAGGAGGGTCACGGATGAGGAAGAGCCCAGGGCTGGGCGCAGCGTGCGCGGGGGCCTCCTGGGTGCGGTGCCCCAGGCCCCGCGCGGCTCCCCGTCCTCGCCGCGCCCCTCCCTCTCCTTCTCCTCCCCGCTCCCCTTTCCGCCGCTCCCCTGCCGCTCCTCGAGCTGCTCGGCTCGGCTCGCCTCGCTCTCTTCAGCCGTCCTGTTCCCCGGCACCTCGCCGCCCCGCGCCCGCCCCGGGGTCCCGGGGTCCCAGCGCCCCCCGCCGCCGCCGCCCCCGCCGCCAGGCCCGGCCCGCCGCAGCGCGAGCGGTCAGTGCGCAGCCCCGGCGCCCGCCCGGAGCCCGGAGCCCGGAGCCGGATCGCGGGCTCGGAGCGGACCCGACCCGCCCGCCGCCCCCAGCCAGGTGAGGGCAGCTCAGGGCCCGGGAGCCAAGCTTTCTCCCGTGCGGCAGCGGGGGCGGCCGAAGGCGCGGGGAGGGGCGAGGGGTCGGCCCTGGTGCGGGGAGAGGAGGACCCGGGAGCTTTTTCATAAAAGAGGCTCGGGCTCTCCCTCGGAGGGGATGGATGAAGGAGGGCTGGCGGGGGGAGGTCTGCGGGGTCCCTTCCGGACGGGTTTCCTTTTTCAGGAGAAAGGGTTAATTGGCTTCTGTAAAACGGGGACTTATCTTCTTGGGAACGTGAGGGGCTTTCAAGGTGGGAGGCGGCTCTGGCGGGGCTCGAAGGAGGGGGTCATCGGAGAGCGGGGCTCTGAGGTCCCCTTAGCCTGACATCGCGGCACCTCCCCCGTCGGTTTCGGGGCTCTGGGTCTGCCCGGCTCTGTGTCCCAGTTTTGTCTCTTTGTAGATGACTATTTCGAGCCTCACCTGGACAGAGCTAGGAACAGCCATTTCCTTTCCTGGAGCCCTTTCCTGGAGCTTTGAGGCCCACCTGACACCCTCCCACGTCTGACCTGCCAGGGAAGGGGGTTGAAGGAAGAAGGATGGGGACCTAGGGATCTGGGAAATGGCAGTGGTGGGTGAGAAACCGGCAGAGTCTGGGGACTGGACACACAGGAGGACCCTCTGGCCCTCGTGGGGTGCACTGGACTCTGCAGGGAGATTGCCCAGAGGAGGGTGGGCAGGTGCGCCTGGGCAGGACCTGCTTAGGGGAGGGGCAGGGTCTGAAAGGGTTGAGACCTTCCCATACTCCCAGAAGGCAAAACGCTAGAGGTTTTGCTTGTTTTGCTGGTTTTATTTGCTTTTTGCTTTCTTTCTCCTTCACCTGGATCTCAAGATTCATTCCACTTTTCTCCCCTCCTATTTTTGCAAAAAAGGGAAACTGAGGCTCAGGACAGGTTGGCTGGAAATACCTGTACCTACGAGGGAAAAAATGGTGGAGAGGAAGGCATACTGAATTTGGAGGCAAAAGACCTTGGTTCAAGGTTGCCTCAGCGTGCATGATTACCTTGGGCCAAAATGCTTTCCTTGTTTGGGTCTTGACTTACTCATCTATAAAATGGGAGAGGGTCCACCTGTCTCGCAGGTTTGCTGTGAGACCACATGTGTCCAGAGAGCTTTGTAAAGGGGACTACTCAGGAGATGCAATCTTCATCACTGTAGCTGGGTGCCCTCGCTCCTCCCTGCCCTCATCAAGGGTATCAGCTAGCCTGTGGGGTGCCTTTGTAGGAACTACAAAAGATCCATTCTCCAGAGGGAGAGGAGGTTCAGCTGGGTTAGGGACTTGGGGCCTTTATTATGAAAATTAGGAAAAGGCACGCTTTTCCCTAGGTGCAGCAGCTCCACACAGTTGGGCAAGTAGAAGGCGGGCTAGACTCCAGTGTCCACTTACCCTAAGATGAATGTCCTCTGTAAGGTACAACTGCCCCTGGCAACCCTTTGTAGCAAGCCTCCAGTGCCTCTAAGGGACACAAAGCTACACACACTCCCAGGGTACTTCCCATAGAAGCCCACATCATAGGCTGCTGCCAGGTAACTTTCTTTCCTACTTTGTCTCCACTTTAGGGCGTTTGGGTATCAAGCCCCCAAACCTGTGCCCTACTAAGAAGCATGATGGAGTTAAGTACTGCCTTCCCAAGTTCCCAGGGGTTGGAGTTGCTGAGTCCCTAAACTTCTTATGTCAAGAACTTGATCAGATCCCTTTTCTCAAGGCCAAGAACAGAAGCGTCTGCACACACCTGGGCAACACTACCATTCACAAACGGGAGTTCACAACTGCTATCTCAGAGCATCCTCACAGTAAGATTGAGGCAGGTCTTTACATAAGAGAAGCACTGCCCAGAGAAGTTAAGGAACTAGCCTAAGGTTTCACAGCATTTAAGCAGTGGAACCAGGAACTGTGCCCAGGTCTAGCTGTCAGTCTTTCACTCCACTACTAAGAAACAAGGCTGCTGACTTCACAATCTTGCCAAAGCCTTGCTGGAATCGCTGTTCTCCCTCTCTATTCACAGCAGCTCCTGGTTCTCTTCTGCTCAGTGACCGGCCCTCAAGCCCAGAGGAAAGTCACTGTTACTCTGATTTCACTGTTGGGGGGGGCGGGTAGTATGTCAGAGCCCAACTGCTCTGGCCTCTACTGCAAGAAAGGCCCCTGGGAGTCCAGAGGTCCAGAATGGGGGCTGGCCCTTGTGTGTCAGAGGTCAGGAAAGAGGTCAGAATAGCTATTTCCTTTTCTGCCCAGTTGGGGGCTGAAACAATGGCCATCATGGAGGTCATCAGTACAGAGAACTAGTGCCTGAGTGAGGGGCCGGCCAAGGTCCATAGAATAGTCAAAGGAAAATTCAGCAAACAAGGCTGAAGGAAACTCAGAGACCTCCTGACCACCTTCTGTGGTACCAAGGTGGGGGGAGGTGGTAAGCCCAGCTGACAGGCTATAATAGACCCTTTCAGCCAGAGCATTTCTGCTTGTATCTGTGGTACAACCGTATGGGCTTTCACTTGAGAAAGGGGTTCGTTTCTTGCAAAAACAAACTCACTGGCCTAATCTACTGGTTCCTAAAGTGTAGTCCCTGGACCAGCAGCATCTGCATTACCTGGAACTTGTTAGACATGCAAATTCTCAAGCCCCACCCTAAACCTACTGAAGGGAAATTCTGGGGGTGGGGGGCCCAACAATGTCTGTTCTAACAAGCCCTGTACAGGACACTGAGGCGCGCTGAAGCTTGAGAACCGCTGGCCTAGTCCAAGCGTGTGGGAAACGGAGTCCTAGCTGTGAGGCAAGGGCAGGGCTGTGGAGTTCTGGGCACTTGGAGGCCGCCCGGCACAAGCCCGCTCTGCTTCCCCTTCTGCCCTTCTGCCCCCCCCCCCCCCCCCAGGCACCATGCTGCTGCTCCTGCTGGGCCTGCTGGGCCCTGCCGCCTGCTGGGCCCTGGGGCCGGCTCCTGGCTCCGCGGAGCTGCGCTCGGCCTTCTCGGCCGCACGCACCACCCCGCTGGAGGGCACATCGGAGATGGCGGTGACCTTCGACAAGGTGTACGTGAACATCGGCGGCGACTTCGACGCGGCCACAGGCCGGTTCCGCTGCCGCGTGCCGGGCGCCTACTTCTTCTCCTTCACGGCCGGCAAGGCGCCGCACAAGAGCCTGTCGGTGATGCTGGTGCGCAACCGCGACGAGGTGCAGGCGCTGGCCTTCGACGAGCAGCGGCGGCCCGGGGCGCGGCGCGCCGCCAGCCAGAGCGCCATGCTGCAGCTCGACTACGGCGACACGGTGTGGCTGCGGCTGCACGGCGCCCCGCAGTACGCGCTCGGCGCCCCCGGCGCCACCTTCAGCGGCTACCTGGTGTACGCCGACGCCGACGCGCCTGCGCGCGGGCCGCCCGCGCCCCCGGAGCCGCGCTCGGCCTTCTCGGCGGCGCGCACGCGCAGCCTCGTGGGTTCGGACGCGGGCCCGGGGCCGCGGCACCGGCCGCTCGCCTTCGACACGGAGCTGGTCAACATCGGCGGCGACTTCGACGCGGCGGCCGGCGTGTTCCGCTGCCGCCTGCCGGGCGCCTACTTCTTCTCCTTCACGCTGGGCAAGCTGCCGCGCAAGACGCTGTCGGTGAAGCTGATGAAGAACCGCGACGAGGTGCAGGCCATGATTTACGACGACGGCGCGTCGCGGCGCCGCGAGATGCAGAGCCAGAGCGTGATGCTGGCGCTGCGGCGCGGCGACGCCGTCTGGCTGCTCAGCCACGACCACGACGGCTACGGCGCCTACAGCAACCACGGCAAGTACATCACCTTCTCCGGCTTCCTAGTGTACCCCGACCTCGCCGCCACCGGCCCGCCGGGCCTCGGGCCCCCGGAGCTCTGAGCCTCGCCCGGGGAGGAGCCCGGGGGCGGCCCGGGGCGTGCATGCCGAGCCGAGCCGAGCCGGGCCCCGAGCCGGGCCTCGGCCGGACGTCCCGCCGGCGCGAGCATGAGGCCCGCCCAGGGCGGCTGACTCTGCCAATAAAGTGGGCCTGCGCCGGCGCCTGTCGCCTGGGCTCCTGTGCTCCTGCGCTCTGTCGTGTCCGCGACGCTGCTGTGTCGGGGCGGGGGTGGGGGTCGGGGGGCCGAGGGCAGGTTCGGTCAGGCCCTGGGAGGCCGAGGAGACAGGAAATCTGATTGAACTGAACCCTACTCCCCCAAGCCCTGGCGGGATGCCCCTTGGCGTTCCTTTCCAGTCAGTTCCTCCAAATCCTCCCCACTGGCCCGCGATGTCACTTGGGGTCCAGCTGGTTCTTGTGACGGGGCCACACCCTGCTCCCTTTCTGGGAGTATGGGATTCAAGGAAACAGAACGTTCCTTCCTCTAGCAGGGTGTGTGGGGGATGAGCAGGTGATACCTGGTTGCTCCAACTCCTGCCCTCCCAGCACAGGGAGGGTGATTTGCCCAGGGCAGGGGTTAAACAACTTACTCTGGCGTAAAAGGACACAGGCTGCAGGAGGCCAGAACAGAACACTTTATGGGACAGCTACACAGGAGCAGGACCACACACCAGCCAGCCTCCGCTTGTCTCTCTCAGCCAGGCCCCTCGCAGCCTCACTTCTCTCTCTGAGGTGTTCATCTGAGCCTGGTTGAGAGGGACCAAAAACCTGTCCCCCTCCCACCTCCACCAAGAAAAGGTAATGTTCTTCCACCAGCATTCCTCCACTCCTGGAGCATACCAAACTAAAAATGTCCAGTCTGTTCTTGTCCAGATGGACACAGGGACTCCGGAGCATCAGTTGCACCGGAGTCCCAAATTAGAACTGGGTGCTGACCATTCACAAGGTTCCCATAGATCCCGTAGGACTTGTCACAGACTGCCAGGGTAGGAGTTGGAGCCTCTCTCTGACTTGGCCTTCCTTGGGGGCCAATTTCTTTTCAGCATCTCTTGAACACACTCCTCAACCGTGACCCCAACACACACTCACACATTGCCACACCTGCAAGTCCTGCCTTTAGCTCTGTGTCTGCTGCCTGAGACCCAGGCTCTTAGTCTACCAGGGCTCAGGAAAGAAAATGGAGGACAGGACAGGTAAGCTGGGTCCAGGGTCCAGTCCAAGCCCAGAGACCTGTACATAGCGGGAAGAAGCAGGTGCCAGATGGAAGCCGCTGCCCAGGATGGGTCTGTCTTGGGCCACGAGTTGGGGGGCAGTCGTGGGCTGGCAGGTGAAGGGGGAGGGTCAGGGAAAGGGGTCAAGGATCAAGGCCCAGGGCCCCAGAGAAGGGGGCTGCCCCTGGGGGCAGAAGCCCTTGCACAGGTCCCAGAGTGTTTCCTGTGCCAGCAGGGCAAAGACCTGGGCCCAGTGACCCCTCTCCTCAGCCTCACTAGCCTTGTGGAGCCGGTAGACACAGGACAGGCCTGTGAGGAGCAGATGTTCAAAGTCCCAAGGGCTAAGAGGAGGCCCTTTACGCAGGTCCTGGAACTGCCGCAGCCGCTGCTTAGCACCCTCCAAGTCACTGGGCACGTGGTGCTGCAGGAGAAGCCTGAGTCGGCGGCCTGGGTGTGTGGATGCCAGTTCCTCATCTTGGATGTGCAGCTGCCCCATGACATCCAGCTCCAACCCAGCCCAGAGCAGCTGCAAGGGGAGCCATGTAAGGGGTGGGCTGGGGCCTGAGGGGGGCAGGGCAGGGAGCAAGAGTGGGCAGGTGGGGTGGGGTATAAGCAGGCAGTAGGACCCATGCTGGGTTGCCCGCCCCCCCCCCCCACCCTCCCAGCAGGCCCAGCTTGATACATTCCCCCTCCCAACCCTGAGGGACCTCTGGACACTCCCTCCCCCATATCCCAGGCTGGAGGAAAAGACCTCAAACATCACTTCCGGGGCCTCTGGTTCCTGCAGGCCACCTCCCAGGCTGGCGCTGTCCATGGGCTGCCCTGGGGCAGCAGAAAGGAGTCAGGCCCCTGCCAAGCTCCACCCTGAACACCCTAGCCTCCTAGAAATGCCCGTAGCTATTTGGTAGGGATGCCTGGAGTTTCTTCTATCTACAAAAGAGCAGGAATACTATCCCCTGTCCCCCTTCCCTTAGACACACATGCACATTGACATTCACCCTCCCAGGCATAGGTCTTGTGATCCCAAAATCATCATCTTAGGCCCAGATACCACCTTGGAAAATGTCCAGGACTCCTCCTCGAACTTCTAGAGTTGCTTTGGCAAAGAGCTCCAGACTGGGTCACAAGACACTTCACTTCCCTCTCTAAAATCATCTGGGACAGTGTGACCTAAAACAGTGCCGGTGCCAGTAACTCTCCCCAAGGGTCAAGGACCCCTTTAGGAAGAATATACTCCTTCTTTGCTCCTCAGTTGTGATTATGTGGAAGGCAAGGCAGGCAAGGCAAGTTGTCTGCTGCAGCTTCTTCCATCTCACACTCTGGTGTGCTGCCCTGCCCAGACCTTAGATGATGGGCCCAAGCCTAGGGCAGGTCCAGAGGTCCTGGTTTGCACATCAGAATAAGGCCACTGCTCACTTCCGTCCAGGGCTGGCATTGAAGGCACCTGGGACTACCTCGCTTCACTTCACTTGGACCTTTCTGGTTCTGGGGTTGGGGCCCAGATCAGTATCCCTGCTGCATAGGTCAGTCTGGTACCCACCATGCCCACAGTGCCTAGGCCCTGCTACGTTCAGATAGAACCAACATTATCAGTCGGCAGCCTTCCTTGGCTCCCATGCACCCCACCCTAAAACCCCGGTACCTGGATGGTGCTGGGTTGTAGTCACCCCAGGGAGAAGGCAAATGGCTACTATTAGCCAAGCCAGGAGCTGCATTGTCCCAGCAGTGCCCCACCACGTCCTTTGAGTGTTCCTCTCTCCAGCTGCTCTCTGCTCCTGCATCCGCCTGCCACACACCGCGGCTCCAAGTTTCCACTGCAGGCTGCCCAGGCGTTCCCTGTTTTGTGTGTCAGCATTCAATGCTAAAGAGGGAGGGGCTGGCTCTGACTTCCAGGACCTTTCCATCCCATGGAAATGTGGAATCTTTAGTTGTTGGCAGTAGGAGCCTGGCTCCCTGCTTGTCAAGCCCTCAGCCTATTCCTGTCCAGATGGGTGGGAATGAAAAATGGTGCTTGGTAACAAACAGCTCTAGCTTGGCCCTCCCAAGAGATAGGAAAGAACCCAGGCAGTAACACTACCTTACTGTCTGTCCTCACCCTCAAAACATCTTGCAGCTGAACTCAGGCTCTAACACCCAGTCAAGTCCAGCCCAACCCAGCCTCCAGGGAGCCCCTTGGCAGCCAAAAGCATCAGCTGCAAAGCTTGGTTCTATCACCAAGGCATTGGCCCTCCAGCTACATGGCAGGCTGGCTGGGTGGCCCTGTGGACCGGCAGAGCTGAGCACTTGCACCTCAGGCACTCAGCCACCAGCCAGACAGACCCCAGGCTGCCAGGGGTAGTCCTGGCACCCAGAAGACAGATCTGTAGCTTCAAGTATCTTTTGCGTCAGCCCTGGGACCTTCTTTGCTTGCTTATGACATTCTCAGCTCTGGCTAGAGTCCAGGAAGATTACCTTAGCCCAAGCATGATGAGCTGTTAGATTGGAGGGAGCAGGAGCAGGGTTCAAGACTCAAAAATGAGCCATGGCTCATGGAATCCTGTGGATGCTTGGATGGGATGAAGGTGGGTGGGGGTTTCCCTGGTTCCACCCAGAACTTTCAATCCATCAACTGCCACCACACAGTCTGCTATGACAAGGGGTTTTCTCCTTCAGTTGTTGAGGGCCCTCGCTTTCAGGAGAGGCCATGCTACCCCTATCCTAAGCCCTGTAGACAGTGAGAACTTTCCATTTCAGCTCCAGAATCCCTCTCTCAGAAGTCTGTCCAAGCCTGCAGGTCACCGTGTCTGCAGCTGCACTAGTCCCAATAAGAGAGATGCCTGGGTTGGTAGTCTCTTTAAGGGAAAGGGGGAAAACCCCTGCTAAATCTCCCCTCCCAAGTCAAGCTTCACCTCTACCTTAAGCACACAAGAAGTGGTTGGTCTACAGATTTTATTTACAGGGATGCTCAGTTAGAGGTTAAACACTTTCTAGTATCCATATGCCTTCCCTGAAGCTACTTGGTTTCAGGTTTCTTGTCTCCGGCTTCAAGCTTGAGACTCTCAGGCGGCTGTCGATAGGCAGGGAAGGCCTCCCACGGGCTATTCAGGTCGAACTTGCGGAACTCCTGGGCCAACTCGACCGGCTCAGCCACCACCCGCTTCACTTCATCATCATACCGTAACTGCAGAAGAGAAAGACAAGAAGGAAGACCTTGTTCAGAGCCACTAAGCTGCTTAAGGAACCTACTTTCCCCAAGCCATGGGTGACTTCACCAACCCCATTACTTCTCTCTCAGCAAGTCTCCACACACACCTGTATTACCAATCCAGTCACATCCCACCCTTAATCCAAAAAGGCCTGCCAACACCCAGCCAGGCTCCCCTGCTCACCATCCCATCACAAACTCTGATCTCCATTTCCAGCACAGCTGACTCTGTTCACCCCTCCACTCTTTACAAGGATATGGCAAGCACTGGTCCAGGACTAGGAAGCAAGCCAGTGGATGAAAAAACTCAACCTGAACTGGCAAGCACTCATGTTCAGACCATGTGGCTTTGGCATTATCATTGTCAAGATGCAATGCAGTAAATTCGGCATTGCTTTTTTCGGTGGGAGATTCAGTTAGGTAATTTAAAGACGAACAGGTGCTGGGTGAAGAGGCAAATCAGATAAGGGAGATTGTGAAAACAAGGAGAGGGAAGGAGTCCGGACCAGAAGTAGCTGGAGAAGCAAATGAGACTGAAAAACACCGAGAAAACAGGCATATTCAGCCTGCTGTGGAAGAGAGGGCTGGATTGTCACTATCTCAACATTTTTAAAGAGGTACTTTGCTGCAAAATCACATGTGTATGTATGCAGTAGACTCATCTTCCTGCTCATAAACAACCTGTAGCACAAAGGTAGTAAAGCAAAGCACCAAAATTCTTCATAAGGCCCCTGTAGTCACATGTTACTGGTCCTGCCTCTGACCATTCTCCATTTAGTGTCTTCCCTATCAGCTTCCTTCTCAGAGATCCGGAGCGGGGTAAAATGGTCCTTCACTTTCAGATCTTGCGGACAGACTGTGTCCTCAGGGTTGCTTTGGTCATTAAAATGATCATTATGATAATGGCTAATGCCAACTGAGTGTCTACAGTACACCAGGCTTTAAGCATCCATCATTCAGCTCATGATAAATCTTGTTAAGTACTACTGTTCCCATTTTACAGCTGAGAAAACTGTCATAGAGAATTTCAGTAACAGGCCCTAGATTACAAAAGTGATGCTGGTATTTGAATCCAGAGCCTATGCTCTTAAACCACCACAATCCACAGACCAGGTTTCCTGCCATGCCCAGGACACCCCTGTTTCCCTGCCAGTCCTTCCCTGAGGCTGCTGCCCCAGTTCCAAGGTTCCTTCTACCTCAACGTAGCCAGACAGTGGAAAGTCTTTCCGGAAAGGATGTCCTTCAAAGCCATAGTCTGTCAGGATCCTTCTTAGGTCAGGGTGGTTAGCAAAGAAGACTCCAAACATGTCCCAGATCTAGAAAAAAAAGAGGTTCTCAGGTAACTAGTCCATTAAGGCCAACACAGAGGTGAGGACGCGCTGCATGCAATAGTTTCAACCAATTCTGCAAATCTGGCCTAGACACAGGATCCACCATGTCCAGTAACTTACCTCTCTCTCATACCAGTTAGCTGCCTTATACACAGAAACAGTGGACTCAATGGGTGTCAGCTCATCTGTGTAAGTCTTCACACGGATCCGAGAGTTGAAACGCAGAGAAAGCAGGTTGTAAACAATCTAGGGAGAAGAGAAGGAGCTGGAGGACCAAGATGGCCACAGGGTCTGGGATGGGAGTCCCTGAGTGAGAACAACAATGATGAGGACACAAGGTTGCTTAGGGTTCTCTACTTATGAACGTGTCTTCTGTCCTGAAGCTCAAAAATTTCAAGATCCTCCTACATTTACAAGTACTTCCAAAGGCCTAAGCCATGCTATAGCTTAGCGAGTCAGCATGCTTGTCTTTGCAAATGCTATTCCCTCTGTCTGGGATGACTCTGGACCCCCTCTCCCAGCCCCAATCCTTACTGGGGTAACTCTGGTCTCTTGGTCATTCACAAAGATTCAGCACAAACATTCTCCATTCAAGGCCTCCCAGACAGAGCTAAGTGCCCCTCCTGCGTTCTCATAACATCTAACATCCCATGTGTTATATGTTACAACGGTCAGCTTTTTATGTATCCTTCTCCCTCACTAGAGTTGGGGAACTCCTTGAAGGTAGGTATTGCATGTTACTTCTCCCTTGTTCCAAGATCTGACAAATAGCAGATGATCAGTAAAAAAAAAAAAAAAAAAAAAAAAATTAAGATTTACTTATTCATTCAGAGAGAGCGAGAGAGAGGCAGTGACACGGGCAGAGGGAGAAGCAGGCTCCATGCAGGAAGCCCGATGTGGGACTCGATCCCAGGTTTCCAGGATCACACCCTGGGCTGCAGGCGGCGCTAGACCGCTACGCCACCGGGGCTGCCCAGATGATCAGTAAAGTATCAATAGCTAAATGTATTGAGAACTTACTGTGTGCTGGCAATCTACCCATACTATCTCATTTCATCCTCACAAACATTCTATGAGGTAGGGACAATTTTATGCTTATTTTGCACATAAGAAACCTAAGCTTAGGGGCAATGTCAAGGACTCAGTCAGTTAAGCACCTGACTTTGGCTCAGGTCATGATATCAAGGTCCTGGGGTTGCACTCCCTGCTCAGTGGGGTGTGTGCTTCTCCCTCTTCCTGTGCTCCTCCCCTCGTGCATGTGAGTGTGTTTTCTCTCTCTCTCAAATAATCTTTTTTATTTTATTTTTTTAAATATTATTTATTCATGAAAGACACAAAGAGAGAGAGAGGCAGAGATATAGGCAGACGGAGAAGCAGGCTCCTGCAAGGAGCCCGATATGGGACTCAATTCTGGACCCTGGGATCCTGCCCTGAGCCAAAGGCAGATGCTCAACCACTGAGCCACCCAGGCGTCCCTCAAATAATCTTTAAAAAAAAATTTTAACAAGATTTTTATTAATTTGGGCAGCCCAGGTGGCTCAGCGGTTTAGTACCGCCTTCAGCCCAGGGCCTGATCCTGGAGACCCAGGATCGAGTCCCACATTGGGCTCCTGCATGGATCCTGCCTCTCTCTCTCTCTCTCTCTCATGAATAAATAAATAAAATCTTAAGAAAAAAAAAAAGATGTTTATTAATTTGAGAAAGCATGAGCAGGGGTGAGGGACAGTCAGAGAAGCAGACTCCCCACTGAGCCCAACATGGGACTCAATCCCAGGCACCTGGGATCATGACCTGAGCCAAAGGCAGCTGTTTAACCAATTTAGCCACCCAGGCACCCAAATAAATAATCTCAAAAGAAAATAAAGTCCTCTTAAGCTTAGAAAGGTTAAGTAAACTGTTTAGAGTCACAAAGACTATTAGTGGCAGAGCTAGGATTCAAACTTGAAGTTTGCTTGATCTGAGGCCCTAGTTTGTTGTTTGTTTATTTTATTTTTTAAGATTTTATTTATTCATGAGAGAGAGAGAGAGGCAGAGACAGAAGCAGGCTCCATGCAGGGAGCCTGATGTGGGACTCGATCCCTGGACTGGGATTGTGCCCTGAACCAAAGGCAAATGCTCAACCACTGAGCCACCCAGGCATCCCTATTTATTTCTTTATTTATATGTTTTAAGATTTTCTTTCTTGTTTTTTTTTTTTAATATTTATTTATTCAGAGACACAGAGAGAGAGAGAGGGAGAGAGAGAGACACAGGCAGAGGGAGAAGCAGGCCCCATGCAGGGAGCCTGACATGGGACTCGATCCAGGGTCTCCAGGATCACGCCCTGGGCTGCACGCGGTGCTAAACCGCGGCGCCACCGGGGGTGCCTTAAGATTTTATTTCTTTGACAAAGTGTGTACTAGCAGGGGGAGGGGCAGGCAGAGGGAGAGGGAGAGGGAGAAGCAGGCTTCCGCTGAGCAAGAAGCCCGATGTGGGGCTCAATCCCGGGAGCCTGGGATCATGACCTAAGCAGAAGATAGATGCTTAACCAACTGAGCCACCCACATGCCCTTAAGGCCCTAGTTTAACTGCTGTTGTATTGTATGACCCGAACTGAAACTAAGGAGACCTATGGTTCCCACTGGTAGCTGTCACCCTAAAACTTCATCTGTCCCTTTTTTTTTTACCCATTGAATCTTCTCAAATCTCCTGATTTACCTCAAAACGGTTCTGCCGGGTGGGGATGTCCACTGCTGTTAAGTCAGCCAAGGATTTGAATTGTGCATTGGTGTGATCCCTGAGGAAAGTCAGCACTGGGATGACCCCATCAGGATGGATACAGATCTCTAACTCATTGAAGCAAGACACCTGCAGATATGGACAGGGAGAAGAGAAAAAACAAAGATCTACTGAGAGAGCAGCTAACTTCAGCTGGAGTCTTCTGGTTTAAGAAAGAAGTCCAAGTGGGATAGAAGAGACTGGTTTCTTTGATATAACAAATCGCTGCCTACTCCTACATGCTCTGAGAACACGGTTCTTTCTTGACCCACAACCAAACAACAGTTGTGAATATTACCTGAACTTGTTGGACATACTTGGGCAGGATTTCAGCCACATACTCTCCAAAAGCTGAAAGCTGCTTGTGGGCCACATCATTCCGTGGTCTGACAGTGGCTGGAAGGAGAAGGCATATTTAACAAATGGCAGCAGCCACACCTGCATTCAGTCTCTTGGGTCGTAAGGGGTGTTGTCTCCCAGCAGAACCTTGAGGAAGGTAAGGGTGGAGGGTTCCTCTTCCAGGGAAAACTTAGGGAAAATGTCACCTACAGAGACCACAAAGACTCTCATTACTGCAGTTGGGAAGTTTGCCTCTTCTCAAAGCTGCCCTCTGGTTTTTCCCTTCACAACACCTGCACTTCTGCTAAAGCAGCATATCTCAACTCTCTTACCAGATCAGGAACTTAAAGAGTTGGAACCAGAACTTTTGTGTCTCTGTATCTGCTTAGCACCTGGCTCACAGGAGGTTTTCAAGCTATGAACTTCAGGACTGAAGAGCCCTCAGATTACAGGGTTGAGTCTGCTCAGCAGGGAGCCTACTTCTCCCTCTCCTCCCCACTCCTGTTCTCTGTCACTACCTCTCTTTCTCAAATAAATAAATAAAATCTTAAAAAAAAGAAAACTTTTTTTCCTCCCCATTGATGAGGAAACGGAAGGCGAGAAAGGAAGAAATGGCAGGTCTCCTAACTCTCAATCTGCTTATGTTGACTGTGATGTATCTCCGCACACTAACTCATGCATCCCTCAATCACTGAAAACCCACACATCACAGGCTGCACACACCATGGTTTAAGTGTTCTCCGCCTTTGACAGCAGGGAGGCCTGCTCTGTCACTCACTAGTTCTGTGTCCCTGGGCAAGTTATTCCTCTGGATTGTTTCCTAATCTACAGTAAGAGATCACAATGCTACCTACCTCATAAGATTGTCCGGAGGACTAAATAAATCACTCACTAAATCGCTTTGCAAGCTGCCTAGCACACAGCAAGCCCTCAATGCGAGCTACTATCATAACAGGGCTCTAAGACCCAAACGTTTCCTGCTCTCAAAGAGCTGACAGCTTAATCAGAGAGAAAAGGAATCGTGGAAATGGACAAGGGGTAATCAGGGCCGTAACAGGGAGACACGAGGGCAGAGGGAGAGGCCCACAGCAGTCAGGTCTCCACGAGCAGAGACTTGCCAGAGGACGCAGGGAAGGGTATCCCAGGGCAAGGGCAAACACCTGACGGAAAGAACGAAGGGGCCCCGCCTGCAGTCCCGAGAAGGGCCCGGCCCGCACATACTCACGGCGCGTGTCGGCCGCGGCGCTTTCCCTCCTCGCCGGCAGCAGCAGCACCGAGGGTCGCCCGGCCACTGCACCGGAAGATAAAAAGACACAAGCGCAAGGTGAGGCTGGATGGGCTTTCTGCGCTAAGCGCGCCTCCGCTCCCGCCCCAGGCCTCTGCCAGCTGCCCCCTGCTTACCCCTGGCCAGCGCCACGGACCCCTTGATCCCCTGCCACCAGCCCCTGGCCGCCGCCGCCGCCATGCTTCAGGATGCAACCAGGCAGCCAAGGCGAGACCCACAGGACACGGAGCCCCAAGGGCACGGACCGGAAGCGGAAGTGTGCGTCTTATTTTCTTCCGGGCGGACGCGGGGCCGGAAGCAGAGGTTCCGGATTCCGGGCTTCGGAATGAAAGGAGGGAAGGCAGGTGAGAAACCGAGGCAGGCAGGTGGGGAAACCGTGAGGTGGACGTGGTCCTAGTTTGGTGTAGCAGAGGCGGGAGAGAAGGCGAGGACTCTAAAGAACCGGACGGGTGAGAGGAGGGCAAGGGGTAGAGGTTCTGGGTTCTACATTCCACTCCCCTCCCCCGCTCCCTGAGGTAAGCTTTTGACGACGGCCGGCGGGCATGGCCGGGAGGGGGCGTGGAGAGAAGCCGGGGCGGGGGTGTAGGGGGAGGTGGAAGGGGGAGAGAAGAACGGTTTCCCTAGCGACCGTCTCCTAGGCGACTCTAGGTGGAGTCGGGACGCCCCTCTCGGCGATGGGCCTATTAGAGCCCCGTGCTGGGGACGACTGGGCTTCGTCTCGAGTTCTGGGACGGAGTCTTGGGGAATCATTAGTGCGAGCAGGCAAGTGCAGGGGAGAAGCAGAAAAGAGAAAATGTGGGGCTAACAGATGTTCCAGGCCAGGCCTCATATTAGAAGGTCTAAACTCCATGCCCGGGGAAACGGGCTTTGGCCCAGAACGCGGGGGGTCGATCTTGTTGGGTTCTGCTGCCCAGAGCCTTGCTAGTTTCATGCCCAATAGTCATGTGGTTAGTAAGGGGTTTTGCCAGGCTTAAGATAATAGGCTTCCTCCAGCGCCTTGCTTTCACGTGTTGACCTAAATACCAAGTCTTTTGTTAGATCTTGGAAAGGAATATTCTGTTTTCTTAGGGAAACACCCAGAGTAGGAAATGTTACTAATTTCATTAGGGATGGAGTGCCACCGCAGGAGAATGAACTCAGCTTTGGTTGAAGGAGAGCTTCCAAGATGTCCTTAGGACTGAGGCCAGTCTCAGCCCACTTTACTGTCATCTTTACCTTCTCCCTCCCTGAATTGAACAGTTGGATTCGTAGATTGTGGATTCCCCATTACTCAGGTGGTGTTGCTTTGCAGACAGCTGGCAGAGAGAGAGGTTGGCTACCATGGAATCACCAGAAGAACCTGGAGCATCCATGGATGAGAACTACTTTGTGAACTACACTTTCAAAGACAGGTCACACTCGGGCCGCGTGGCTCAGGGCATCATGAAACTGTGTCTGGAGGAAGAGCTCTTTGCTGATGTCACCATTTCAGTGGAAGGCCGGGAGTTTCAGCTCCACCGGCTGGTCCTCTCAGCTCAGAGCTGCTTTTTCCGGTCCATGTTCACTTCCAACCTGAAGGAGGCTCACAACCGAGTAATTGTACTGCAGGATGTCAGCGAGTCTGTTTTCCAGCTCCTGGTTGATTATATCTACCATGGGACTGTGAAACTTCGAGCTGAAGAGCTGCAGGAAATTTATGAGGTGTCAGACATGTATCAGCTGACATCTCTCTTTGAGGAATGTTCTCGGTTTTTGGCCCGCACAGTGCAGGTGGGGAACTGCCTTCAGGTGATGTGGCTGGCAGATAGGCACAGTGATCCTGAGCTCTACACTGCTGCCAAACACTGTGCCAAGGCCCACCTGGCCCAGCTGCAGAGCACAGAGGAGTTTCTCCACCTGCCCCACCATCTACTCACTGATATCATCTCGGGTAAGTTGAGGGAGTGGGGCCCATCATACTCAACTACTTGGGTTTGATGTTTAGTAGATGTTCTAGTTTAGGAGAAAGGAATTTTCAGGTTTTCTGATAGAGAGTTAGATACTTTCTGAGAGACTGAGGTGAGATTTAGCTGCTGTCACAGGCAGTCCCTTCCAGAGAAAGAACCCTAGAAAATGAAAGTGGTACTTTGCCATATATACAGTTAACCCTTAAACAGTGTGGGGATTAGGATTGGAACCTCCGCCATTAAAATCCATGTATAACTTTTGACCCCCAAAACTTCACAAATACCCTGTTGTTGACCAGAAGCATTATCAATAACATAAGCAGTCAATTAACATACATCCTGCATATTGTATTATGTACTGTTTTTAAAACTAGAGAAGAGAAAATGTTATTAGGAAAATCATAAAAGAAAGTACATCTACAATACTGTACTATATTTATTGAAAAAAATCCACATAAGTGCACCCACACATTTCAAACCCATGTTTTTCAAGGGTCAACTATATACAAGTATTGAATAAAAAAAAAAAAAAAAAAAAGGCAGTGCTCACCCCTAAAAGGTAGTGAGGAGTTGTTTGTATTTATACTCTGGTCTCTTTTGTGTATAAATGTTCTCATCAGTCCTGCATTTTGCATGTACCTGTGGGACAGGTTACCTGAGTAACTGATAATAAGTCAAGATATTACATAAACTTTTTTTTTTTTTGATATTACATAAACTTAAGTGGTGGGCCAACTTTGGTAATAATCCTGACCCTGGGGTGCCTGGGTGGCTCAGTTGGCTGAACCTCTGACTCTTGGATTCAGCTGAGGCCCTGGTCTGGGTATTGTGGGATCAAGCCCCATGGGGAGCTCCACATTCAGCGAAGAATCTGCTTGAGATTCCGTCTACCTCTGCCTCCCCCCTACTGCCCCACACTCCTGCTTGTGCTTTCTCTCTCTCAAATAAATTTTTAAAAATATGTTTCATTTATTTGAGAGAGAGTGCACACTCTCGAGGTTGCAAGCAGGGAAGGAGCAGAGTGGGGAGGGAGAGGGAAACAGAATCTCAAGCAGACTCTTCACTGAGCAGAGAGCCCCATGTGGGGCTTGATTTCACAACTGTGAGATCATGCCCTGAGCCAAAACCAACAGTCAGATGTTCAGCTGACTGAGCCACCCGGGTACCCAATAAATAAATCTTTAAAAAAACAGGCAAGCAAACAAAAAATGATCCTGACCCTGCAAGTGAGGTATAGCCATACTTTAGGTGTGAGCTCTGCAGCCTGTAGATTGCTTCTATGACAAAAGGGGACATAGCAAGCCATCCATTTTGGTTAAAAGAAATAATACAATTAGGTTAATTTCACGCACACACACACACACACAGATGGTGGTAGTCTAACAGTGTGATTCATATCTTTAAAGCCACTGGCTCTAAATTTCCCTTTTGGATTGTTAGATTGCCATTGACCAGGTCTTTCCTCTGGCTCTCTCAGATGGAGTTCCATGTTCCCAGAACCCAACAGAGGCAATAGAAGCCTGGATCAATTTCAATAAAGAAGAAAGAGAGGCTTTTGCAGAGTCACTCAGAACGAGCTTGAAGGTAAGGAGGATTTCTCTTTTGAGTTGGGACACCATAATATGCACACCATGCATTCCAGCTACTATGTTGCCTCTTTTGTAGCTGGTGAGTAAGTCATCTCTGGCTCGAAGTTAAGAACTGGGGAGGAGGATGTGTGCATGAGCCCGGAAACCACCAGCCTCTGAGCTCCCCAAAGTTCCTTGAGAGAACTGCATTAATCCTAAGCACCTTTTTTCTAAAGCACCAGCTGCCCCAGCATAAAATGTCTGAAAGAAAGTGATTGGAGGACGGTCAGGATGGCACACAGTAACTAGAGGGAAGTAGGTTAGCATAGGATTCAAGTGTGTGGTCTGCAGCGTTAAGGATAGGTGTCTCAGCTGAGCCTTAGCCTAGAACTGATAGATGTCATCTGTGATTTTAATTTTGCCAATAGGAGATCGGGGAGAATGTGCACATTTACCTGATCGGGAAAGAATCATCTCGTACCCACTCGTTGGCTGTGTCCTTACACTGTGCAGAAGATGATTCCATCAGTGTAAGTGGCCAAAACAGCTTGTGCCACCAGATCACTGCAGCCTGTAAGCATGGCGGAGACTTGTATGTGGTGGGAGGGTCCATCCCACGGCGCATGTGGAAGTGCAACAATGCCACCGTGGACTGGGAATGGTGTGCGCCTTTGCCCCGAGACCGGCTCCAGCACACCCTGGTGTCTGTGCCTGGGAAAGATGCTATATATTCACTGGGTGGCAAGACACTGCAGGACACGCTCTCAAATGCAGTTATCTATTATCGGGTAGGTGATAACGTCTGGACAGAGACAACTCAGCTAGAGGTGGCTGTGTCAGGGGCCGCTGGTGCCAACCTTAACGGGATCATCTACTTACTGGGGGGGGAGGAGAATGACCTGGACTTCTTTACCAAACCATCCCGACTCATCCAGTGCTTTGACACAGAGACAGACAAATGCCACGTGAAGCCCTATGTTCTGCCCTTCGCAGGTCGCATGCACGCAGCTGTGCATAAGGATCTGGTGTTCATCGTGGCTGAAGGGGACTCCCTGGTGTGCTACAATCCCCTGCTAGACAGCTTTACCCGGCTTTGCCTTCCTGAGGCGTGGAGCTCTGCCCCATCCCTCTGGAAGATCGCCAGCTGTAACGGGAGCATCTATGTTTTTCGGGACCGATATAAAAAGGGGGATGCCAACACCTACAAGCTTGACCCTGCCACTTCAGCTGTAACTGTTACCAGAGGCATTAAGGTGCTACTTACTAATTTGCAGTTTGTGTTGGCCTAAGGCTGTGGGGGGGAAGAGCAGCTGACTTCTGCCCTCCCCTTTTCCAGCACCTATCCATCCAAATTTGAAGTCCCTGGGGCCCCAATCAGAGTGCTACGTTATTTTTTTGGCACATGTTATAAAGGGCAGCACCTCAGTCCTTGCCGAACCCATCGGGGTGCTCCATTTGGGGCTTTTTAGACTGCTGCTGTTCAGCTGGCTGCTCAGAGTAGGGCCAGCCTATCCTCTGCTGTCCCCTGGTATCTGTGTCTCCTTGCAGATGGCTCGAGCAAGCCATTTCTCAGACAGTAGGCACAACCTCCCCTCATTCCCTGATCAGTGTTAAGTAGAAGCACCTCTGATCCCAGGACAGAAGGAAAGACGCCCCATCTTCCTTTTTTTCTATAACCTGCAAAGTGGCTAGTTGGTAATTTTCCCACAAAGAATTAGGTGTTAGAGTTTTCATTTGGGCTTTGGTTGGGAGAATGGTCTAAGCTGAAGGTGTCCTTCACCAGCAAGCGCCAACTCTAGAATTCAGGATGTTGCGTCTTGTGTTTTCTCACCTCTCTGTCAGAAAACGTACACTTTGGTTTTATTTTTGGTGTACTCCAAGGAGTAAGCCAGAAAGAAGTAGGAAGGATTATTTCTGATTAATAGCAGAAACCTTTTTCAAACTTAAATATATAAGGTCTCTACTCTTTTAAAAGCTCTAAGGTAAGCCAAGAGCTAGGAGCTGTTCATACAAATAAAAGTTTTTGAAGGGATGTGTGTGTCTGTTTTGAATTCTGAAGGGGTGACTTCCTAAGGTAAATGGATTACATACCTGCCACAATACTGATTGGATCCTTTTCTACACATAGGATCATTGTTCCAAAAGGGGAGGAGAGCCCCATGGGGCCAGTGAATTGGGATCTGACAAAGTGGCAAAGAGACTGAGCTGAGTATTTCTCCTCTCTTTTCCCATGTTAAATGTTTCTGAGTCATGCTGAATATCATTAAACACAGCATTGCATACACAATAGATTTCTTTGACTCTACTTGAGAAAACAAAGACCCTCATCCCATATCCCCATAGCCAGTGAATTGAAGCCACACTAAATCTCTCTAGACATACAACAGTGTTACTTCAGGAAAGTGAAACAAGACAAAGGGAGCAAAATTATCCATTACTTAGCACATTTCTGCTATGTCAAGTCTGGGTTTAGGCCCCCTTGGTCCTGTTAAAACTATTTGATTCTGTAGCAAGCAGCATTGTCTTGAGTTCTTTCTAATCTGTGTATTTCACGTCTGTGATGTGTGACAAGTCTTATCCTTTGCTGCCCCTGCAGTAATCTCCTTGTGGAACTCTTTGAGAACTTCCAACTGGCCAGATCTGATGTGGATGTGTGACCGGATCTTGGTGATGGCTCTTACAGCCTCCTCTGGACTCCAGTTGTACACCTGAAGTACAGGATTGGGAAATCAGAGAAAGAAAGGAGCAGGTGTTAAGGTGTCCTTGACCTAATAACAGGTGCTAATGGACTCTCAGAATTTCATTATTTTAAAAACTTCATTTGGGGAGGGCGGTAGTTCAAAAACATGCCCATATATCATAAACAGAGGGGAGGGGGCACTGTAACTCCCTCAGTCAACCAGTTCCACAATACTTTGCAGTAGGCTGGGGGGGGGGGGGGGCGCAAGTCAGTCTTTCTGCCAAACCTGGAAAAAGTCAGTCTTTCTTTCCAACCCTGGAAAAAGAAGGTTTAACATGCAAAGCTGAGATCTAAACTCAAGCCTGCATAGGTCTATTAGATGTCCTCTGGGAGCTGGGCTGTTGGTTATAAGTTTCCTGGGGAGAGTATATGGTAGATGTTTTTATTCAACTTGTCCCCATGGCTAAGAAAACAGCACTTTTAAGTAGGAGGGTTATCTTTGTATCCCTAATGATACCTATTGGTTTAGATCCCAACAAAAGCAAGAAACTACAGATTTCAGCCCCAGCTGTGTCAATTCTCCGTAAGTCCAAAATATCCTCCTGAGAACCCATTGCCAGTAAATGGAGTCCTAATGATCAAAGCTTTAATATTGTTAAATCACGTACTTACCAGTCCACAGCAACTCAAAGCCAGGCCTTTTACCTCAACATTTCCTTTTTCTTTAAACTATCCATATAACTTAGTAAATGCTCTACAGGGGCCAGACAGTAATAAGAATAAGTCATGTTGGGGGTTGTGTAACAAGGAGTAATGACTAGAGAATATTTGCTTATAAATAGTTTTAAAAGCCTCACACTTGCCAATCATAAAGTGATAGACAAAATTCGGTTAGATCCTGTTTCTAAAAACTGATGTCCGGAACTTTATCCTGAAATACTTTAAGAAATCTTTTTTTTTTTAAAAACTTTTTTTTTACTTTAAGAAATCTTGAGTCCGGGGGATCCCTGGATGGCTCAGCGGTTTGGCGCCTGCCTTTGGCCCAGGGTGTGATCCTGGAGTCCTGGGATTGAGTCCCACATCGGGCTCCAGGCATGGAGTCTGCTTCTCCTTCTGCCTGTGTCTCTGCCTCTCTCTCTCTCTCTCTCTCTCTCTCTGTGTCTATCATAAATAAATAAATCTTTAAAAAAAAAAGAGAGAGAAAAAAGAAAGAAATCTTGAGTCCTACAAAGCTGTAAGTGACCAGCACTATTATCTACAATACTAGATTTCCTGACATGCTATTTATAAGAAGTGTTTTTATTTTAGCCTTTTACTAGTGTTAACATCTTTTGCAACTTCATTTTTTGAGTGCCTGCCATAGGTCAGTGCTTGACATTCTTTCTCATTCAAGCTTCAAGACATATTTAGTTTGAGGATCAGGGAGGGGACGCCACTTTTGCCTAACGTCACACAGCTGGCAGGTGGCAAAGCCAGAGGTCAGCCTATCTACAAACTTCAGGTGCTTTCCACCTCCCAACAGCCTGATATTGGGGACTGCCTGAAATGGCTCCTTCTAACAAGGCCTTCAGTAGACCATGCTACTGAAGTTCTAGAAATATGCTGTAAATAAACCAGTCCAGAGAGACCTTTCTTACCTGAATCAGATACGCTGCCACCATAGTGGCACTTCTGGAGCGCCCAGCCTTACAATGCACGTAGACAGACTGGCCCAGCGACTGGTACTTAAGAGCAAACTGGACTCCTTTCTGGAGGTTAGCCAAGGTTGGGACTCCAGTCATGTCTACTGTGCTGAGCCGCAGCTGTTCGACTCCTACTTTCTTCCATTCCTGGAACGAGGTCCACCAGCATAAAAAAGAGAATGAAAAAAGCCTGATGTTTACTATTTTCTAAACAAGAAACTTCTTACAGAGATGTCTATAAAATGGATAACCCGCATTGCTGGTCTTTTATCAAACAACAGCTGTGCTACTGAGTTAGAATTATGTTCAAGATTTTAAATGTTCCCAAAGTACCGTTTGGGGGATGCCTGGGTAAATCAGCAGTTGAGCATGTCTTCAGCTTAGGGTATGATCCCTCGGTCCTGGGATTGAGTCCCACATCAGGCTCCCTGCATGGAGCCTGCCTCTCTCTGTGTGTCTCCCATGAATAATAATTAAAAAAAAAAAGTGCCCTTTGGGTATTTGAATCTTTTTATTTTATTTATTTGAGAAAGAGCACATGCATGGAGAGCACAGGCAGGGGGAGCTGCAGGCAGAGGTAGTGGGAGAAGCAGGCTCCCCACCCAGCAGGGAGATGTGGGGGCTCGATACTAATACCCTGAGATCTTGACCTGCACAGAAAACAAATGCTTAACCAACTGAGCCACCCAGACACCCGTATTTGAATCTTTAGCTACAAAATATTAGCTGTATAAAATTCATCTACAAAAGTTGTGTTACTGTTTTTGCATAATCTTGGCACCGGTGCAGTGACCCAGCTGCAGGGTTGGGCTACTGAATTTTGCAAGAGCTTTCTATTTTTCTGTCTATAAGTCTCTTCTTTACCACTTTTTTTTGGAGAGAGTACATGGTAGAAAATAAAGTTACCATTTCAAAATTTACACACCTAGGGTGCCTGGGTGGCTCAGTTAGTTAAGCAAGCATCTGCCTTCAGCTCAGGTTGTGCTCCCAGGGTCCTCGGACTGAGCCTCACATCAGGCTCCCTGTTCAACGGGCAGCCTCCTTCTCCCTCTCCACCACTTGTGCTCTCCTGTGAACGCATACTCTCTCTCTCAGATAAATAAAATCTTTAAAAAAATAGTAATAAAAATAAAACAACACACCTACCTTTGTTAGTACATTATCACTTCAGAAGAAAAGAATAAGCAATAGGAGAAATAAGGCCTCTGGCATATCAATAAAATTTATTTTTATTTTTTAATTTTTTGCCTGACAACTCCAGATAAGGTGATGCCTGGGTGGCTCAGTCAGTAGAGCATGTGACTTTTGATCTGGTTGTAAGTTCAAGTCCCACCTTGGGTATAGATTACTTAAAAAGTAAAATCTTAAAAAAAAAAAAAAAAGACGCCTGGTGGGGCTCAGTGGCTGAACATCTGCCTTTGGCTTAGGGCGTGGTCCTAGAGTCCCAGGATCAAGTCCCGCACTGGGCTGCCCTCGAGGAGCCTGCTTCTCCCTCTGCCTATGTCTCTGCCCCTCTGTCTGAATAAATAAAATCTTTTAAAAAAAAAAAGACTCCAGATAGGCTCCAGTTAGTGGTTATTAATCTGCTTATTTCTTTTTTCTTTTAAAAAACATTTATTTATTTGAGAGAGAAAGCACACCATCAGGGGCAGAGGGAGAAGGAGAAGCAGGCTCTCCTGCTGAGCAGGGAGCCCCACCATGGGGCTTGATCCCAGGACCCTGAGATCATGACCTGAGCCTAAGGCAGTGGCTTAACTGACTGAGCCACCCAGTGGCCCCATTTAATTTTCTTTTGGTTATTTGTTTGGCTGAACTTTACGACTTAAGACTTTATGACAGAGGGAAGGTCATATACTGCTCATGAAATTAACAAAAGAACAGCATTTTGCAGCATGGGGCTTTGTATCCATTATGCCAGAAATACCTGGGGAGTTTGCTAAATATTCAGATTCCTGGACCCTACCCTAAAGTTCCTGAATCAGAATTTCTAGGGGATTGTACTTAGGAATCTGCTATTTGAACAATACTGCCAGATAATATTTATGTTTATTAAAATGTGAGAAGCACTGCCTTGAAGATTTCTTTTCTCTAGGCTAGTTGGGTACTGTAGCTGCATCATACAAGTGTCAATGCCTCAGACCCAGAGACCAAGTATTTTTTGTGACTCTTACTCCAGAGGACTGACCACACTAAGGAACATTTAACATTTTGGCTAATAATTCCTGAAACCTTGTAGCAAAGTACTTTGGGAAATCCAAGAAACTGTTATCCATTTCGTAGAAATGTATGTCATCACTAATGAATGTATTTTAAATGTGAGTCCATTTCTAAGGTTACAAAAACTATCAGTTGAAGTAACAGCATCTTCAACAGGCTATATCAACACGGTAAACAAGAAAGATGACTATGTAGTGAGTGCTAATAGATGTTAAACGGAATAAAGACACGGCAACATCGTTATTTAATTATTTTGGGGGCAGGCGGTCTTAAGCGGCTCCACACCCAAAAGGGAGCCAGAGGCAGGGCTGATCTCAGAACCCTAAGATCATGACCTGAGGGAAAAACTAAGAGTTCCAAGCTTATCTGACTGGGCCCCCAGGCGTCTCAGGGCAACATCTTTATATAAAGATAGGGCCATGTCTGATGACTGTTGTGGAGAGTTCCACAAGCACTGAAACCTAGTGAAAAATGTTTTAGGGGGCAACTCTGGTGGCTTAGCGGTATAGCACTGCCTTCTACCCAGGGCCTGATCCTGGGGACCCGGGATCGAGTCCCACGTCAGGCTCCCTGCATGGAGCCTGCTTCTCCCTCTGCCTGTGTCTCTGCCTCTCTCTCTCAATGTGTCTCTCATGAATAAGTAAAAAATTTTTTAAAATCTTTAAAAAGGGATCCCTGGGTGGCGCAGCGGTTTAGCGCCTGCCTTTGGCCCAGGGCATGATCCTGGAAACCCAGGATTGAATCCTACGTCGGGCTCCCGATGCATGGAGCCTGCTTCTCCCTCTGCCTGTGTCTCTGCCTCTCTCTCTCTCTTTCTCTCTCTCTCTCTGTGTGACTATCATAAATAAATAAATATTAAAAAAAAACCTTTAAAAAATTGTTTTAGGTCTGAACTCTGTTGTGACAATACTTCCATTCTATCATTAACATATGAATAACAATTCCCTCAAGTCGATGCCAAAAATTGAAGCCTGTATAATTTTTCAAGGGATTGTTTTATGATAAATTACTCTTGGGGACCGAGAGGGGGCTTTTGTTCTTGGTTTATAGGGTCTCCGTCTCGGGTGCCTCACGAACTGCCGGCAGCGCTCACTAAGTGTTGAATGAAAGCAATCAGCAAGCCTTGGGAAAGCGGCCTTCCGATTTGGTTACTGACTCGAGTTCCGGAAATTAAGAGAACCTTTGTGCATAAAGGAGTAGTCAGACTTGGTTCTACTTTTAAACGCCTTTCTCACGGGTTTCTCTTTCACGATTAATTTCTACCTCCGGCCGCAGCCATTCAGGCCGGGAGCGCGGACGCCGCTCCCGAAGCTGAGGAGCCGCCCGGGGCACGACCGCAGGGGCCGGGTGCTCGGCGACGCCTCTCCCTCCGCCCCCGGCCCCTCACCTTTGAGGAGTTACACAGGAACCGCGTCTCATATTCCTCGTTCATGGTGATCACCCCGCGCACGTTCTCGTCCTGAACCAGCTGCCGAGGCAAAGACGGGGCTCAGGGAGGGCCGCGGGGGCGCAGGCGGCGCTCGCCGGCTCCCGGCCCGCCGCGGCCCGGCCCCCCGGCCCGGCGCCCCCGCCGCCGCTCACCCGGCGCGTCATGTTCCGCAGCGGCAGCGCGCCCAGCAGCACCGTGGGGTCGATGCGGTGGTACCAGTCGCGGTGCGCCCAGCCCGGCACCTTCCCGCGGAACAGGGTGTACAGCAGCGTCGGGTAGAAGAGCACCCGGGCCAGGCCGGCCTCCAGCAACCCGCCGGCCGCCATCCTGCCCCCGCCGGCCTCACGCAGCCGCGCCTCGCCCACGCCGAGGCTCGCGGGCCGCGGCGGCGAGAGGAGCCCCGAGGGCGACAGGGACGAGGGCGGCCACTCGTCCGCCGCCTCCCGCGAAGGCGCCGAGGCTTCGGGCCCGGCCTCTCGGCGCTCGGCGGCGCAGCCCGGGGCGCCCGCGCCGGGCTCCATGGTCCGGGAGGAGGGGCCGCCGGCCAAGGGGAGGGCCCGGGGAGTCCCGGGCGGGACCGCGGGGCCCGAGGCCTGCGGCTCCGCCGGGCGGGACACAGCGGCCCCTGCCCGCGGCCGGCGGCCTCCCCCCACCCGAGGGAGGCCCGCGCCCCAGCGAGGGGGCGGCGACCCCACCGAGGGAAGACCCGTCGGGGAAGAGACCCTGAGGGGAGGGCTGAAGAAGGGGCGCTGAGCTTCTAGGCCGGGGCTACCTTGGCGGAGAGGGTTGACGGGGTCCCGCCCTCCCCATCTGCCAGGACTCCCTGCGCCCTCCCCCTGCCCGAACCCCAGTGTGTGTGAGTATGAAGAAAAAGTATATCCATAGAATCTCTAGGGAAGCCTAGGTGGCTCTGGCTCAGGTCGTGATCCCGGGGTGCCGGGATCGAGTCCCACATCGGGCTCTCCACAGGGGCCTGCTTCTCCCTCTGCCTGTGTCTCTGCCTCCCTCTCTGGGTCTCTCACGAATAAATAAATGAAATCTATAAATAAGTAAATGAATGAATGAAAGATCTATAAATGAATGAATGAATGAATGAATAAAATCTCTAACAACATATATACAAAATCTAATTATGAAGATAAATTAAGAAAATATTGTGATAAGCTTAAATGTAAAAACCACAACCTACAGAGAGGTAAGAGAAATGGTTGTGATGCTGCTTATTTACATTTAAGTGGAACCTACATCTGGTGCTCTTTATTTGCGTCTGGTACTTTTTTTTTTTTTAAAGATTTTATTTATTTATTCTGGAGAGACACAGGCAGAGGGAGGAGAAGCAGGCTCCCTGCAGGGAGCCCGATGTGGAACTCCATTCGATGCTGGAACTCCAGGATCACCCCCAGAGCCAAAGTCTGACGCTCAACCCCTGAGCCACCCAGGCGTCTGGTGTCTGGTGCTTTTTTTTTTTCTTAAAAGTTTCTTCTCTCCTTGTAAAAATAATACATACTTGGAGCGCCTGGCTGGCTCAGTCAGTGGAGCATGCAGGTCTTGGGATTGTGATTTCAAGCTCCACCTTGGAATTAGAGTTTACTTAAGAAAAAAAATTAAAAAGTAATAGATACTAATAACAATTGGAAAATACAGGGAAGTAGAACTTACTCGAATTACCCATATATTTTTTTAAAGATTTATTCATTCATTTACTTGGCAGAGAGAGTGAGAGAGCACAAGCAGGGGAGAAGGTTCCCTGGTGAGCAAGGAGCCTTCTAGGGTCTCAGTCCGAGGACCCTGGATCATGACCTCTGTGGAAGGATGACACTGAATTAACTGAGCCACCCAGGTGCCCCTCTAATTATCCATAATTTCACCACCACAGATATATTTCTTTTTCTTTTTCTTTTAAGATTTATTTTTTTATCATGAGAGGGAGAGAGAGAGGCACAGACATAGGCAGAGAGAGAAGCGGGCTCCTCACAGGGAGCCTAATATGGGACTCGATTCCCGGACCCAGGATCACTCCCTGAGCCAAAGGCAGATGCTCATTGTACCTTCAGACAATGCAACCCAGGTGTCCCTACATGTATTTTTCCTTCAATTTCCTAACTGTACCACTAGAAAACTGTTTTGTAACAGTTTTGAGATACAACTCACCATACAGTTCACCTATTTAAAGTGTACAATTCAATAGTTTTTAGTATATTCAGAGCTGTACAATCACCACATTTTTTTTTTTTTATTTTAGAGAAAGAGCAAGAGTGGGTGGAGGGGCAGAGAGAGGAAGAATCTCCAGCAGACTCTGCTGAGCTTGCAGCTGGATGCAGGACTCAATCTCATGACCCCGAGATCACCACTTGAGTGGAAACCAGGAGTCGGAAGCTTAACCAATTGAACCACTCAGGTGCCCTTCCCCAATCAATTTTAGAACATATCATTATTCATACCCGCCCCCCCCCCCCCCCCCCCGGCCAAGTCCCATATCCCCTTTCCCCACAGCCCTGGGCAACCACTAATTTACTTGTCTCATAGATTTGCCTGTTCTAGACATTTCAGGTAAATGAACTGCAATATGTGTCTTTTGAGTCTGGTTTCTCTCACTTAGCATAATGTTTTCATGGTTCATTCATATTGTAGCATGTGTCACTACTGTTTTTTTTTTTTAAATATTTATTTATTTATTTATGATAGACACAGAGGGGAGAGAGAGAGAGAGCGAGAGAGAGAGAGAGAGAGAGAGAGAGAGGCAGAGGGAGAAGCAGGCTCCATGCCGGGAGCCCGACGCAGGACTCAATCCTGGGACTCCAGGATCGCGCCCTGGGCCGAAGGCAGGCGCCAAACCGCTGAGCCACCCAGGGATCCCCTGTTTTTGTTTTTAAGTAGGCGCCACTCCCAGCATGGAGCCCAACTCAGGGCTTGATATCAGGACTCAGATCAAGACCTGAGCTGAGATCAAGAGTCAGACACTTAACCAACTGAGCCACCCAGGCACTCCAGTACTGTATTTTTTTATTGCCAAATAGTATTCCATTGTACGGATATATCAAATTTTGTTTTCTCATTTATCCGTTGACAGACATTTGACTTTTTACACTTGTTAGCTATTTTGTTTTTTTTAATTTTTTTTATTATTTATTTATGATAGTCATACAGAGAGAGAGAGAGAGAGAGGCAGAGACATAGGCAGAGGGAGAAGCAGGCTCCATGTACCGGGAGCCTGATGTGGGATTCGATCCTGGGTCTCCAGGATCGTGCCCTGGGCCAAAGGCAGGCGCCAAACCGCTGCGCCACCCAGGGATCCCTTGTTAGCTATTTTGAATAATGCTGCTGTGAACATTCATATACAAGTTTTTGTGTGGACATATATTTTCATTTCTCTTGGATATCTACATAAGAATGGAATTGTTCGGTCATATGATAACACTATGTGGTCTATTTGTACCATTTTTATTTATTTTTTAATTTTTAAAAAAGATTTTATTTATTTATTTGACACAGAGAGTGTGCACAAGCAGAGGGAGCAGCAGAGGAAGAGAGGGAGAAGCAGGCTCTCCACTGAGCAGGGAGCCTGGGATCGTGACCTGAGCTGTAAGCAGACGCTTAACTGACTGAGCCACCCAGGCGCCCCTATATGTACCATTTTTAAAAAGCATAGTAGGGACACCAGGCTGGTTCAGTTAGTAGAGCATGCAACTTTAGATCTAGGATTTGTGAGTTCAAGACCCATATTGACTTTAGATTACTTAAAATTAAAAAAAATTAAAGATTGTATTAATTTATTTATAAGAGAAACACAGAGGCAGAAACATAAGCAGAGGGAGAAGCAGGTTCCCTTCAGGGAGCCCGATGTGGGACTCGATCCCAGGACCCAAGGATCATACCTGGAGCCAAAGGCTCAAACACTGAGCAACCCAGGTGTCCCTAAAAATAATAATAATAATAATTGTAATCATGTCACCAAGCTTTTTTTTTTTAAGATTTTACTTATTTATTCATTCATGAGAGACACAGAGAGAGAGAGAGAGAGAGAGGCAGAGACACAGGCAGAGAGAGAAACAGGCTCCATGCAGGGAGCCCGATATGGGACTCGATCCCGGGACTCCAGCATCACGCCCAGGGCCAAAGGCAGGCGCTCAACCGCTAAGCCACCCAGGTGTCCCAGTCACCAAGCTTTTGTATCCATTTTTTTTGTATCCATTTTTATCACGAAATGTGCTATAAGGACTTGCCATATTATTACATTATCTTTACCATTTAGAATGTTCCTAATTACTACACCATAATATGATCATTCTCCTGTTATTGGACATTTAGGATATTTCCACATTTTTTAATAATTCCAGCATGAAAATTGTTTCTATATTTCTGTATTTTCCATATTTAGACTTACTATGATAGGATAGTGGAATTTAGAAATTCCTAAAGTGGAATTACTGTATCAAAGAATCATTTACAATTTTTGCTTTATATAAAGTACATAAGCTGAAAAGTTCCATCCTTACCTCCAATGCACTCTTCAGAAATAACAGATTTTTAAACACATATATTTTCCCAACATTTTGTGATAAACAATTTCTTTTTTTTTTTTAAAGATTTTATTTATTTATTCATGAGAGACATGGAGAGAGAGAGGCAGAGACTCAGACAGAGGGAGAAGCAGGCTCCATGCAGGGAGCCTGACACGGGACTCGATCCTGGGACTCCAGGATCACACCCTGGGCGGAAGGCAGGTCCCCAACCACTGAGCCACCGAGGGATCCTCCGATAAACATTTTCATGATAAAATAAATTAACTGAAAACTGAATAAATTGCACAGGAAAAACCTGTATAACCACCAACTAAATTCTACAATTAACACTTCATTTTATCACACATTTACCCATTAATTCATTCTATTTTAAAAGATTTTTGAAAAAAAATAAAAATAAAAGATTTCATTTTTAAAAATTAATTTACTTATTTTTTTTTAAAGATTTTATTTATTTATTCATGAAAGACACAGAGAGAGGGAGAGGCAGGCTCCATGCAGGGAGCCCGATGTGGGACCCAATCCCAGGACTCCAGGAGCACACCCTGGGCTGAAGGCAGGCACTAAATCGCTGAGCCATCCAGGGATCCCTTAATTTATTTATGTATTTTAGATAGGGAGCAGAAAGAGAGAGACTCTTAAGCAGGCTCCATGCCCAGCACATGAGCTGGGTTCGGAGCATGATCTCACAATCCTGAGATCATGACCTGAGCCGAAACTGAGAGTCGGATGCTTAGCAGACTGAGCTATCCAGGTGCCCCTAAGATTTTCTTTTTTTAAGGAATCTCTGAACACAATGTGGAGCTTGAACCCACCACCCTGAGATCAAGAGTTGTATGTTCCACCAACTGATTCAACCAGGTGCCCCAATCCATTCTAGATATACTTAAAGTATATTTTATAAAAATTGACTCATCCTATATTTACTATTGTATGACCTGCTGTTTTACGCAACAGTATTTATGGGTATTATGGCATGTCAATGTAGATACGTGTACATTTACTTTATGCTTTTCAAACAATTACACAGT